CCGGATTAAGAAAGGCTGACTTAAGGGATGTTAGGCTGGTACCCATCCATTCATTTACCAATTCATCCTTCCACCCACCATCCACCCATCGGTCCATCCATCCATCCAATCCATCCTTTCACCTACCCACCCATCCTTCCATCCACCTACCATCCACCCATTTGTCCATTCAATCCACCCAACAACTAGTCTACCTAACAACTAGTCTGTCCATCCATCCATCCACCAATCCATCCTTCCACCAATCCATCCTTCCACCCACCCATGCACCCACCATTCACCCATCTGTCCATTCATCCACCCAACATCTGGTCCATCCATCCATCCATCCATCCATCCACCAATCCATCCTTCCACCCACCCATCCTTCCATCCATGCACCCACCATCCACCCATCCGTCCATCCATCCACCTGACAACCAGTCCATCCATCTGTCCATCACTATGCTTACACAGGGTCCCCTTCCCAGCTGAGCAGGACCACCAGCTGCCATTTGCCAGGCAGGTGTCCTGAGGAAGGTTCCTTGCATCCCAAGGATGGCCTTATAAGCATCAAGGCCCTGAGGGAGAGATAAGCTCGGCTTTTTCAAGGGACAGAAAGGTGACAATGAGTCCCGAACCTGGGGATGGGAAGGGAGAGTAACAAGCACACACAGGGAAGAGAGGGCATGCAGGGCCTTGCGGGTCAGAGTAAGGACTCTGCATCTTATCCCAGGTGCAAGGGGAAGCCATCGAATGGTTTGGGGAGGGAACAAGTGTACTCTGATGTACCTTCCAAGGCCAGCTCAGCTGCTAGAGGAAGAAAAGAGTGTGGGAGGTCAGGCATGGAAGCAGGGAAGAGGCAAGCACCATGGTCCAGGCTGGAGATGACGAAAGCCTGGATGGAGACGGGGAAAAGAATCCGGGAATGTGGAGGCATAGCTCCTGGAATACCAGTTCAGGTGGGTGAGAGAGGGGTTCTGGCTCGTGCGGCAAGGTGAGCAGAGGGGTTGGGGTTCAGATCAGGGCCCCAGCAAGAAGGGTGCTGGAGGAGCAAAAGGAGCATGGGAGTTGTAGGTCCTCTGTTCAGTCCGAGGCGCTACCAGGCGTCCAGGTGGGGGACCAGCAGGCAGCGAGGGGGCAGCTCCAAGAGAAACCGCAAAGGGCCATGTGAGCACCGGTCACCCTCCTCCCTGCACCGCCCATCTGCAGAAAATGCCACAGTTCATTGTGCAGCGGGCGTCCACTCGGAAGGTCAACACCTAAGTGTGGAAACACTGATCCGGGGGTGTGCACAGCCGTGAGGCTCCAGGTGCATGCAGCCCAAGAGCCCTCCAGGCTGCATGCATGGTGGGCAGTTCCCCTCTTCCCTTTATTTAAAAAACTGGCTGGGCCGGCCGAGTGTCACGATGGTTAAGAGCTGGCTTGGGATGCCAGAGGGCCGCGGTTCGGATCCCACATATGAGGGCCAGTGACACTGCCCTCTACAGCTAAGATGCTGAACAACAGCTCAACCTGGANCCCACATATGAGGGCCAGTGACACTGCCCTCTACAGCTAAGATGCTGAACAACAGCTCAACCTGGAGCTGGGCTGCCGTGAGTTGCTGGCGACGGCGTAGGCTGCAGTCCCTGTGGCAGTGGGTTGCCATGGGCTACCGTGTATAGCCAGCAGCCAGTTTGAGCGGCCAGCAGCCGCTGTGAGCGGCCGTCCAGAAGCCAGCGACTGATCTGCCTCGCCCGGGAAGAGCGCAATGATGGTGCCAAGTTGGGCCAGTGCAGCAACGTCCTCCACAACTAGACTGAAGAACAAAAGGACAGCAACTTGTCTGTTCCCCTTCCCCCAATTCCCCAATAAAAGTCTTAAAAAAAACAAAAAAAAAAACCTGGCATATCAGGTGTGACCTCATCCGCTCAAGGATGGACTGACACTTCCCGAGAAAGCTGACGCAGCAGACAGGATTGGTAGTAAAAGGTTTAAGGGGCAGGCAGGGACATTTCTCCCAGAGTTATGGACTAGTTGTGGTCCATTCACCCCCCCCAAGCCCCACCCCCTGCCTGAATTCGTATGTTGAAGCCCTGAACCGCACAACTTCAGAATGTGGCTGGGTGTGAAGATGGGGTCTCTGAAAAGGTGACTAAGGTAGAGTGAGGTCATCAGGATGGGCCCTAACCCCACATGACTGGTGTCTTTATAAGAAAAGGCGATCAGGACACAGACAGACACAGCAAGACCAGGTGAGGACACGGGCAAGCAGCTCTCTGTAAGTCACAAAGACAGGTCCTAGGGGGAACCTAACCTGGCCCCAGCTTGATCTTGAACTTCTGGCCTCCAGAGCTGTGCGAAAGTAAATCCCTGTTGTCAATGGCTCCCATTCTGTGCTATTTTGTGATGGCAGCCTGCACGAAATGCTACACCCAGCCATCGGGGTACCCCAAGTCAGTGGGGGCAGAACGCATTTGCAGGGGCAGACTCCTGTTGGTCATAAAGCTCGGAGATCTTGGTGCAAACCCCCTGAAAACAGTGAGAGCTGGTGAATTCAGTCAGGTGTAAATGGTAAGGTGGGCTGCTCGTGACAGGAAAAGCTGGAGGTAAGCAAACGCTGGGGGATTTGTTCCCTCGAGTTTGGACTCAATTTAGCTTAACCACCACATGTCTTCCAGACAACCCAACCAGAAGTCACCTCACCCTCTTTCCTCCAAGTTTCTGAAGAGCCACTACCTTTTTCCAAAAATTATAATCACGTGTCACTACTTCTGTGGTAAGTATTGGTGTCTCTGCTCCCCTCCTGCACTGTGAGGTCCGCTGGGGTTAGATCCTTTGTCCTACTTGTCTTTATAGGGAACACAGTAAGTATCCTGAACTCCACAAAAGTGTTCTCAGTTTGCATAGATAATAATTCTTATCTTTCTGTCATCACAACAAAAAACATTGCTCATTATCATGCACTATCAGAATTTTACATTCTCTGTACAGATGTGTTTACAGTACGTTAATATGTAGCTTTTTAAAAAAATTTTATTGGGGAACAGCCACGGTCATTGGTTACACATTGCTTTCATGCTACAATGGCATAGTTGACTTTTTTTAGGGAGGGCCCAGCTCACAGTGGCCCATGCAGGGATCGAACCAGCAACTTTGGTGTTATCAGCACCACGCTCTAACCAACTGAGCTAACAGGTCACCCCGTTTGCATTACTTTAAACTCATGCAAAACATTGGGCATCTTTAAATCTCTGCATTACAGATTTTGTTTTGGTGAGCAAAAGACAGTCCCTTGCTGAATTTCCAGTTCTTGTATTCTCAGATTTAATATTTCAAGTGCACTCTTGGCGAGACTTGGGGAAAATAAATAGTTCTGAGAAAAAAAGTTGAAAACGACTTTCCCACATTCTTGTTCTAGAATTTCATTGAGGCTTGCCACTCTTTAAAAGCACGCACAATTCCGAAAATTGCTGGGTCCGTAGCTCAAAAGCAGAAAGCTTCTGGGACTAATTTCTTAAGCGTGGTTACGCAGTCTGCGAGAAGCCATGGCCGTGATAAACAAGGGCTACGGTCCATCCCCTTCCCCCTGACCCCTTACCTATAAGAGAGCCCTTTACACACACACACACACACACACACACACACACACACACACACACTATGTACGCCATAGCTGTTCAACAGGACGAGTCACAGCAGAGGAGCTAAACTCCAAGCAGCACTTGAACCGTCTGTGGTTTCAATCACACGCCAGTGGCTTGGGTGCAGGAGTAAAGCCAGAGCCCAAGTGTGCAGGGTGCAGTGCAGCACAGAGCCATCAGGGGGCGCCCTTGTACCGCAGCTGGGCCTGGAAACGGGCTTTGAAAAGATTCCAGCAGGCATTTGGCACATGACTAGCTCGGAAGCCACAGTCATAAAGCTGCAATTGTGCTCCCCACTCGGCTCAGCTCTGTAGCTGTATTATTCCTCGGCCATTCTTTTTGACCCAGGGGCCCTTGGTTTTAGCCTGGCAGACTGCTAAGTAACCAACTTCCTCCACAAGCATGCACGAAATGGCACTGTGGTCCCTAGAGCCACGGAAACATCTCCCACTCTCATGTAAGACCAACAGCACTCCGTGTAAAGCCATATGAAAGAAAACGCCATCACGTAAGGCTCTCAAAAGCAAAATGCTTACAGGAGTTATTTCTGCAACAGATTCTTGACTTTTGAGGTTCGTGTTTAATTGGAATACCGTACCCATCACCGCAGATTGTCAAGGCAACAGAAAACTCGGCACGCAGTGACCCTATGGTCCCCATGGGTTCCCATTCCTCCATCAGCCCTTTATTTCTCCTCCTACCATCCTCAGATGCCAAGCGCAAGATGGCACTAGGTACTTAAGTGAAAATCCGTCCTTGCTACAATGAAACACCTACCTACACTTTGCAACACTTTAGAATGGGAGCACACACAGTCATTCACCACTGCCATCCACCCTTCTTTCTTATGCTCCGATCCTCATTTGGGGAGCCCATGGATGAGATTTCTATTTTTTGAAGCTCCAAATTAACCCATTGAATACACCCAATTTAGAGAGGCTCGCTCTATTCCTTTCTGAGTGACTGTCCTTCCAGTCAACTCCGATTTCGAGACGGCGCACCAGCAACCCAGCTGCATGTGCGGTTGTGAAAGCTCCCTTCAGTCAGCATGCCGGACAAAGCATTGCATTCAAGCCCGGATCACAAGGCTTTTCCTGTCAACATAAAGAACCTTACTGTACAGAAAGCACAGCAGCCATTTTAAGAACCAAAAATGCCACGATGGCATTACAAGGCATCACCGCCCTTGGGCCGCCTCTCCCAGCAGCGTGCATGGCCGCAGCTCTGGTCAAGACACCATGGGGCACCTGGGGACACTGGAAATTGTGGCCGGTTAGCAGCCACTTCAGGGCTGGCCAAAACCAGACGCCCAGCCATGTTAACCAAGCATTCCCCCGCCATGAAGAAGCCCGCCCCCAAGAAATCTCAGTAACCCCAAATTCCAAGTTCACCTACCTCGGGGTGGGACGTCCCTCCTTGGCCCGGAGTATGGAGGGAAGTTCTCTGTGCTCACCAGGGTCCTCTGATTGTCGCCGGGATTCGATGGGAGCTTCCTGCCAAAAGCAGCACAGGGAGACACCGAGTCATCAAGCTGCCTCCTTCAAGACATCTATCATTACGAACCCCCTCATTATGGGTTCGCCCTGCAAGCCTGGACCACAAAAGCACTGATGAAGCCTGCTGTCTGGTACCGACGACCCTCGGCTACAAGGCCGGAGAGCTCAGCTCTCCCAACCGTTGTGCCAAAACACCTCAACTGCACCCTGCGTCCCCTTCACTTCTGGGCAGGAAGCACAAATTCTACCTGAGGTCTGTAAAAGCGTGGGACACAACTGGCCAAAAAAACCCCAAATCAAATCAAACCCAGCTGCTTACGACTCACTGTGGCGAAGCATGGAGGAGCCCCAGGACTTGTCAGAGTCTGGGATTCTTGTCAACTGACTGAGTGCGCATGGAATTCTCAGAGGTCACACTGCACAGGGCACCGCCAGGGCAGAAACAAACGCCCACAGCGTCCACAGGGCTTTCAGCACTAGGACGCCACAGGCAGACGGGGGATCTCCCTTCGCACGCACACATGGAATACTGTGCAATAAATCCACGCCTGGCTCTTTCTGAAAGAAACTGCCTCTGGTGCTGTAGGGAACCTTTCCTTTGACATGCAGAAATGCAGATTTAAGAGACAGAAAAAGCAGACTGAGAGGGAGAAAGACTGTCGACTTGGAAATATGGATACAGAGACGTAGCTTACTACAAAGGCTTCACGTCACCCGTGACCATCAAAACTCTTACCTTAAAAACAAGTGCAATAGTGTAATGCATTGCTTTTTAATAATTTGCCCCTGAGCAATCTTGAAAAATATTTGCCAAAAACAAAAAATACTAAAAATATTAAATGACATCAATATTGCAAAAGTAGCTATATCATATGTTGTCTTAACCCTTTACACAAAAAGCACCCCTTTTCATTTCAAAGGAGAGCTTACCATTTTCTACCGTTTCCCCCAAGTTCTTTGCTTGGTAGGTATTCAGGCAGGGAAAAGCTAAAGGGCTGGGGGGAGGTGTGAGAGAAGGAAGACAGCTGAGGCAAGAGATGGCGACAGTGGGGCTGGGAACTCACAGTGTAGGTGACGATGCAACACTTACAATTGTAGACATATCAATTTTTGTCACCAGGTCCCTTTCACACAAGTGGATGCTAGAGGAGCTGGTGCACATAAATCCTTCAACGACTAGACACAAGTCACGCTGACATGGAGCCATTACACACTGGGGGTGTCCTCTACGTGTCCTAAGGCAGTGGTCAGGGGTGGCTGTGCCCTCGCTCCGTGCACAGAGCTTACCTGTTTGTAGAGGTCTGTGGATGGTGACGACCGGGACCTCTCATGAACGTACTGCGGCCTCTCATGCTGGTCCAGGCCCACATCCAGGATATCGTCAGCCGAGTGATACCTCCCAGAGCCCCTGGCTTCCGAGGCTTTCCTCTGCTTCCTCCAAGAGGCTTGATATTCTGCAAAGGTCCCAAGCCTGTGCAATGGTTCGGACTTCCCTGCCTTTCCTGCTTTCCTGGGACCACCAGCGTTTTCTCCAAAAGAGGTGGTGCGGGTCCTCTCCTGGAACCAAGGCTCAGTCCCGTCGCCCCCGTGGCCCGCAGTCCGTGCCGTCTCCAGCTTCTCCTTTGGGACTCCAGGGAGCGCTTGCCGAGGCCTGGGCCTCTGGGAGACAGGCCTACTGGTTTCTTCAAAAAACTTCCACCTGTCAGCAAATGTCCCCACGGTCTCCTCGGGGTGTGGGCGGGAGCGGTGACTCCCTGAGAGCCCAACCTCGTTCATCTTCTCCGGTTCAGAGTACGACTTCAGTTTCTGCTCCGCCGTGAAACGTTTCCGGCCCCCGATGCGGATAACATGTGACACGCCACCTCCGGACGAGGGCAGCCTGGCCGGGCCCGCCTCCCAAAAGCGGGAGGTAGCGTCAGGGTCTTCACGGCGGTCCCCGGCCCTGGGTTCTGCTGACCCTGTATAACAGTCAGCGGGGCTGGGGTCCAAGTCACGACGCTTAAACGACGTGGCCCTCAGGACGCGGGCTTGGGCCTCCTTCAGGTGGTCCTTATAGGTGCCTGGGAAAGCAGTTTCTGGGGCAGCCCCCACCAGGGCTGCCCTCCAGCTGCCAGCCTCTCCCTCCGGCTCATCGGGTCCAGCCAGTGTCACCGTGCTTTTGCTTTTCTGCAGCTTGGCTCGCCGCAGCTGGATCTCATTCCTCAGGGTGGTGGCGAACCGGTCACTCCTCCGTGTGGGTTTTCCCACCTGGGCATCGAAGGGTGGTGGCCTCTCTGCGCTGCCCTCCTGGCCGTCCGCGGGCCGGCACTTCCCTTCCTGGGTCAGCGAGTGCAACATGGGCGTCTTGAGAGCAGAGATCTTGCTGCTGTCTCCATCGGCCCACTTGAAGACATCAGCAACTTTCTTCACACTGGTCCTGTCACCATGGCTCGCTCTCTGCGGCTCCTCGATTCCCGGGGAGCGGCCCCCGGCTCCTCTGTCCCCTGTGCTACCCCTCTCCCCATCCTGGGCGTACAGGGCCTCCTCATGCTGACGGAGGTGGCAGTGGGTTTTCTGGCCTGCTGAGAGTGTGGCAGGACACTCGTGGGCACCCAGAGGCGTGTCACAATGCCAGTCGTCCTCATGGAGCTGGGCCGTCTGTGCACTCCCCTGAAGACCCTGCCTTGTGGTCACACAGTAGTAGTGGCTCTGCCCACCGCTGTCCCCCTTCTGGTCAGCAGCACTGGGCCACCTGGCCTGAGGAGGGCCGTCGTCCTGGAAGCGGGGGGCGGGACGCTCCGGCCGGCCCACAGCCCCTTGCGGCTGCTCCCTGGGCAACGGAGCAGCCCTAGGGCCCTCATGGAAGAAGGGACTCTCGTCACTGCACTGGCGCAGGTGCCGGCACCCGTAGGAAGATGGCAGGAAACGTACGTCTGTGCTGGACAGAGAGGCCTGGAGTCGGCTGGGGGCCCCGGGGTGGACCCACCCACAATCCAAGTGGACATCCGCTGCACAGCCAGAGCTCCCGGGCCTCCTATCGCTGGGGCGCACCAGCCTCCGCGGCTGGTCGGTGGGTTCTGGCCTCCAGTCGACACGGGGCTGAGCCCGGGTCAGGCCCGGAAAGTGCTGTGTGGTGGCCACCTCTGAGAATGGAGGGCCCTGGGCCTTCTCGTGACTCTTGGTGGCAGCGAAGCTATCACTTCGGAGAGGGGGAGGGGGTGGGGGAGGGGAAGAAGGTGCTTTTTTCTTGTCGGGAACATACCAGACAGGCCCAAAATTGGACCTCCCAGAAGTGGCGGCCAGCTTGGGCTCAGGCCCGTCCTCCGGCCTGGGGCTTCTGCTGCTGTCACAGGGGACCCGGGGTGGGAAATACCCGAACCTGTCCTCCAGGCCCTGGGGGTCCTGCCGGTTGCCGCCTGGCCGGGAGGCCTCCCACAGGCCCACTTTGTAGAGGATGTTCTCCGTGGACGAGGCGTCGGCCTTGGGCAAGGTGTGGTCAGGCGTGCTGGAGCTGGTGGAAAACGAGCCATATGCTGAGTCCCGCTTGTTTGGGCCGCCCAGGTGGTCAATGCTGCTATTGGACTTGGCGGCCGAGAGGCGTCCGGATGGGTAGGGCTGGGAGGGGTGGTCCAGGCTGTCCACGCTGCCCAGAGAGCTGAAGTGGTCAGAGGTGCGCTGCAGATTCGTCTGCTCCCACACGCCCGACAGGTCCTGGGAGGAGGAGCTAGCAAAGAGAAGAACCATAGAGACACCTTACTTTAGAACCGAGTCGCACACCTCAACGAGAGCCAAACCACAGCTCTGGGAACACAGCTGGCCCTAAGCAGGACATCACAATGCCGGGCGCTAATAACTCTTCCCGGGATGGGGTCACAGGACCTCAAAGGTGACCTTAACACATGTAGGTTTGAGCAATTCAAACCGCGACTGAGTCTTACAGATGCCTTCCAATGCGAGCGAGCCATCTCTCGCCTCACGCCCCCAGGCTGGACCAAGACCGCAGTGGTCACCGGCAGGCGATGCCCACGTCAATACTACCATCAACCACCAATTAAGTGGGGTGCCTGGCAAACTGAAGCCCAAGAGCTCAAAACGGTTTTCAGATTTTTTGAATGGCGGGGGCAGTGTAGGTTCTGAAGACAACTATTTCGTGACCCATGAAAATGATACGAAATTCACGTTCCAGTGTTCATCAATCAAGCTTGATGGAAACACAGTTACAGCCAATTGTGTACGCAGAGTTGATGGCTGCTTTCGAGCGAGAGGTGAGCAGCCCTCACAGACCCTGGCCGCAGAGCTCAAACTGTTTCCTCCGTGGCCCTTTACAGAGCACACTGTGGAACCCTGGTTTAGGGCATGAAGTGATTTTTTAATCCCGGTTATGACCCCAAAAGAAGCAATCCAATGAGAACAATTTTCAAATTAAAAGGGAAAGTTCAGGGACAACTTTCTTTTTCCACCCCCGAGTACTAAAGGAATAACACCTCCACTGTCAGCTCGCAGTCAATGGCATGTCTCCTAGATAACCCAAGTGACAAGCTTTATGAGAGCTGCCGTGTTGGGGTGCTTGACTGAACCTTGCAGAGTTCACTGGAGCTGCACCTGAATGCCAAAAATACAGGTTCCTAACTGGGATCGGGGTCCAAGAGAAGGAAACCAAAAATCACGTTTATTACAACAAGCTGGGTGCTATATGATTAATTCAGAAATTCATTCTTCTGTGATGTAATGACGCTGTATATATGTGAGGCTGACAGCTCTCCATGGTGAGACTATGTACCCAGCCATGTCACATGTTTTTATTAAACCTCAACAGAGCTGAAACAGTCATTCTTCAAGTTAAAACCCCAAAAAACAAAAAACAGTGGCTCCTTTATGTGTGGGGAGAACCAGGGTGAGCAAGAAAACTGTGTGCCCAGGAAAAGGACACAGGAGAGAGAGGTGGCTAAGTCATCTGCAGGAGGGAGGTAACGGTTTGGGTTGTACGCGCTTCCCTGGGAGGACAGGCCAGGTACCATTCTCAGAAATGGAGCGCGTTCCTCTCCACCCTCTCACCAACACTCCTGGGGTGATCTTTTCCATGAGGTTCTAAGTCCAAGCAGATAGAAATAACGCTTAAGCACGGTTGCCTCACAGATGTGCGCAGCATACCTGTTTCTTGAGTCGAGAAACCACTGTATGGACTGAAGGGGGATCCTATTACATGAAGTCACTTCAATAATAAAAAGCTCACTTTTCACGGAAGCGTTACCATAACTCAGTTGAGAATCTGTGGTTTTTCAAAATTACCCTAGGCTCCCAATATCGCCATCTCTTGTCACTTTAAATAGCTAATGCTGTGTTTGACATGCTATTTCCTTCCCTTCACATGAGTACTTTACTTGGCAATTTTGCAGCAGACCTGCATTTAGTAAGAGTTAAAAATTAATTTTGAGACGGTTAATATTAGCTCCAAACACACACACATGTGCGGACACACACACACTTACAGATATGCATGCATGCACACACATATGCATGCACACAAATGCACACAGACACACATTCAGGCACAAACAGATCCACCCACGTGCACGTGCACACACAGATATGCATGCACACACACACAAAAGCCACTCTTTTTGCTACCACTGTTACGATCATCCTTCTAACAGGACATTAGTAAGGACACTGGCCACTAACCCGAGGTCACCAGTCAGGACCCTGTGATGGTCTAGAGCCTCCCCAAGCCAATCCCTACTTGCTGCTATCACACAAGCCCTTCTGACCCTGAAATGTGGGCTCCAGGTAGGCCAAGGTTGGCCAGACCTCCCCTTTCCACCGACACACAGTTCCCACTTCCTCTTTCTCGCACTCAGTGGGAAACCACTAGTGCATCCTCAGGGCTGGGTGTCACCCTGGTATGGGGCTGTGAAGCCTCCTGGTTCCCCTATACTTCCCCAGTAGCACAGTAGGGGAAGCTTTTGTAAAATGCACCTGCCCAAATCGTAAGTAGCTGCTTTGCCTGTAAAAATCTCAAAAGCAGGGATGGTAGAAGAGGAAAAAGGGGGTCAAATATATGGTGATGGAAGGAGAACTGACTCTGGGTGGTGAGCACACAATGCGATATATAGACGATGTATTATAGAAATGGACACTTGAAACCTGTAGCATTTTACTTATCAATGTCACCCAATAAATTTTATTTTTAAAAAAATCTCAAAAGAAGGGTGTGGCTTGGATATCTGTCCCAGTGGGCTCAGAACTACCAACTCGGCTGGCCCAAAGGGATTCAGCCAAAAAAGGTAAGTCTCCAGGGTCTTGATTCATTAATTGAACACCATAAATGAGAAAGCACTGCCTGTTCACCTTTGTTCCTGGTGTTTGTTTTTAAGCCCTGAATACCTGTGTGTAGAGCAAACAGATTTAGAGCATCTTCCCAGTCATGGCGTGTCGACGGTGTTTGCTCATCCAAAAAACAAAATCACTCTCAAGTCAAGAGACATGCTATCGTGACAGGGATGGGGAGTTATGAGTGTGACGTGTCAAAGTCCCCATCCTAATGGGAAACCAGCACCTACCTTGTGTGGTGCCGGCTGTGCCAAGATGGGCAGATGCTGGCGGAGGAGAACTGAGAGGCCGACATCTCGGGGTGGTTATCAGAGAACTTGGTGGCGTGCCAGGAGTGAGGCCTCCAGCTTAGCTCATTCCTCCTGAAAAAAAAACCACAGACGACTCAGGGACATCACACAAAGGGCAACCTCGTGCCAAGACGGGAGCGAGAGACAGAAAGAAGTCACAGCTATCTCTGCGTGACTTAACACCCTCCCTTTCAGGTGCTTCCTGCTATATCTGCAGAAACGTTCTTTTTAAATGTCTGTTAATGGAGAACTGCCCTCATGCACTCAGAGCGAGAATCCTGGGCTCCAAAAAGTGAACCAGCCCTTATTCTTCAAAATTTGTTCTAAATAAGGAAATAAACCTTGCCCTTGCCCTCCCCTCCCCCTCACCCCCACCACCACCAATAAGACCACAAACAGAATCTCCAACCTTTCCCGTTTCAGCACAGCTCCGCACTGGGCCCTTGGCCTCCGTGAGGACAAGGCTCTGGGGTGGAGGAAAGCTCTGCTGGGTCACAGGGTTTCGGCTGCTTCTCTGTGTATTGACTCACTTAGCTAAGTCAATACAGCTATGTCATAGAGAACTAGCAGACAGACATGCCTCTGAGCCTCTCACAGTGTCTGTGGCATCAGCTACAGGTCGCCATCATGTGGCTCACACCACCCTAGACCAGGGGTCGGCAAACTGCGGCTCTTGGGGTACGTTCTGTCTCAAAAGTTTGCCGACCCCTGGAAGCGCCAATCCTGTCCCTCGCAACAATTTAAAAAGTATTTGAGAGCCATAAATATATTTTTACATAATCACCATTATGTAAATAATATCCTTTTAAAATTTTATAGTTGAAACTATGATAGTTTTATTTTCATTTTCAATTTTACTTCAGAGCCACACACTCACGAGCCGCAGTTTGCTGACCCCTGGCGGCTCTTCCATCCCAAAAGTTTGCTGACCCCTGCCCTAGATCAACAGGTCCAGTCCACTCGTGCCAGGGCTTCTGAATGTGGTGTGAGCCCTCCCCAGATCCCACTCCACAGGCCCCACCATCCCGTGGGTGGTTGATGCGTTTTCTGTCCACACCTGCCCAGGTGTGGTGAGGTCTGTCCAGGTGGAAATCCCTCCAGCTGCTGTGTAAACATAACAGAGCCTCCGGGCACCTGTCCTACTTCCACACCTTCAATGGAGGACACAGCTAGCCTCGCAGTAGACGGCTTGTAGCCCAAGAACGGAGACAGAGCTCAGCTGAGCCTTGTGGAGTACTTGAGGGAGACTGAACATTCTTCAAAGCAGGCAAAAACATCAAAGATCATACCAAAAAAAAAAAATCAAAGGAAAAACAAAAAGCATTTTTAACATAAACCACCTGGCGACTCCAACAATTAATGAGGAAAAATATGTGGGTGGCAACACGTGGAATGCGTGAACTTTATGACCGTTTTCCACAAACTGAAGCATAAAACAGACAAAATTCATCACACAGCACAGAAGGGATTGTAAAACCCACACTGTACCTCATGGAATTTCTCAAGATCCTTGTAAGGAAGGTTCTGGCCACGTGAATGTCATTTTCAGATGGCTCTTTCTGTGCTATCATATCCATAACTTCTTTCATCTTCCTTTATAGTTAATTAATGAAGGAAGTAGGCTAGGCTGATTGAAACTGGAGGTAAAGAAAAGAAGAAGGCTTGGGAAAAAAAAATGCCTTACAGTTTGCAGCAACATTTCAACCCCGTCACTGGAATGACGGGGAGGGGGTGGGGTTACTGGAGAGTAGAGTTAAGTGTTTCTCCTCGTTTTTAAAAAGATAATACACAGATTCATGTCTCTCTTTCAAGAAAACAGAGTCAACAGTTACAGTAGCAATGAGGACTATTTTTTTAAAATTATAAACACATGAAAACAGTGGGGAAGGGTTACACCTACATGGTATATCTGAGGATATCATGGCCCCTGGGGACAGTGAAATTTTTCTAAAATATCTGGGCTTTTGTCCTCTGCATTTCCTAGTGCACAATGAATGGATTTGGGAATCAGAGAAGGTTCTGGCTGGTTTCTGCTTACAAGCACCTCTGATGACCTGAAATAGCTGGATTTGTGTTAAGATGAGACAGAAAGCCAACCAGCAGCTGTATGATGGTCCTCTGTCACAATCCTGTGACTACGCTGGACAGGAAAGCTCTGGGGACAGAGAGCACTGGTGCCACCTAGAGTTTCCAAACACTCATTGTCACTTTGATCAGTTTCAACCTTCCCACCACCCCACCATCCCCCAGGTGGAACAGAAATGACATAAGATTTAAGGTCTTTGTGTCAACAAAAGTGAGGTGTTCCCCCCCCCACACACACACACACACACACAGAGCTTCAAACCACCCTGTCCCTGGAAATGTGAGGGCCGGGGGAGTACACAGACATGCGAGGACAAGAGAGCCAAACAGCCCGACGTGAGGGCCTGGGAAACCACCACGCGATACTCAGGGCGTGGTGAGACCACCCTTGCCGCCTCACAGAGCCGTGAGCATCACAAGTAAGCAAACACTACTGGCTGATGCTACAAACCCCACCGGAACCACTCGTTCAGGTGGGACGTCTGCTACGTTCCAATGGGAGACACAGCCCCATGGTAAATCTCAAACAGGAATAAATGGGAGAGCTGCAAAAGCAAGGCCCCCTTCTGAGGCCACAGTCAGACGCTAGCTGGCTGAGGGCGGAGTGGATGTACGGACCACAATCAGGAGAGCAGTAAGGAAGCCCCTTCCACAAAGGGGGAACAGAGGGCCATGTCTGAGCAGGCTGATGGGAGAGCCCTCTTGAGGCCAGATGGGAAGGGGGAGGGCTGGGACTCATTACAGCCCCAAAGGACGGTGCAGCTTAACCCAGAGATGGCCACGTTGTGCTTCTGTGAGGGCAGCACAGGTAAGGGTGCCAGGGAGTACCACGCTGACCAACAATGGGAACGCCTCCCTTGCATGCAGCTCCACCTTGGCAAGGAGCTAAGGGGACAGTCACACCCACTGGACTCTAACCCCCGAACCCTGGTTATCCCAACATAGAGGGAAGAGACTCTTGTCATTCAAATAGCTACTGATGTTCATGAATCATACACGTATGCTTCTTGTAGAAAACATGGAACATTAAAAACTTAAAAGGCCGGGCCAGCCGAGTGGCGCGGTGGTAAAGAGCTGGCTTGGGATGCCAGAGGGCCCCGGTTCGGATCCCACATATGAAGGCCAGTGACACTGCCCTCTACAGCTAAGATGCTGAACAACAGCTCGACCTGGAGCTGGGCTGCCGTGAGTCGCCGGCGACGGCATAGGCTGCAGCCCCTGTGGCAGTGGGTTGCCATGGGCTACCGTATGTAGCCAGCAGCCAGCATGAGCGGCCGTCCAGAAGCCGGCGACTGATCTGCCTCACCCGGGAAGAGCGCAATGATGGTGCCAACTTGGGCCAGTGAAGCAATGTCCTCCACAACTAGACTGAGGAACAAAAAGACAGCAACTTGTCTGTTCCCCTTCCTCCAATTCCCCAGCGCTGTTCCTATCCCCCAATTCCCCAATAAAAATCTTTAAAAAAAAAAAAAACACTTAAAAGGCCTATAAGAAGACAAAGGACAATAACCCATGACCTCAAGAGGACCAAGGGTAACGTCTGCCTGCATTTCTGTCCATGGGTCTTTAGAAGACAGCTGAGAGCATCTGCAGATGTCGTGAGTCCCTTGTATCCGCAGCCCACCGGGTTTGGTCAGCAATGTCCCATGCCACCGTCACTCTTCCAACACATCATCTTTAATCTATGCATGAGAGTGCTTTCATGTAATTACTGCAAAGCCATGGCATTGACTATTCACATTGGGCTTTCTGGTACTCCGGATAAAACAATTCACTCTAACAGGGGTTCCCATGAAACCTCTCCCAGAAATGACACACCTAAATTAATCCAAGTGTACTTCAATTATTAATAATCGTTTTATATGCTGGGTAGTCTCTTTTTTTAAAAAAAGGATGGGGGGGTTTAGATCACAAGTATAAAAAAGGCTGGGATATCACTGAAAATTAACAGCAGACCTAGATATCAAAATTCATTTTTAAAAAGCAAGTATTAGAATAAAGCCTTCAATGAAATACCATTCACATAAAGAACAGAATTTCCTCCTTCCTCTCAATAGAAAAAAAAGAAAAATCACAGGAGTTTTGGGGTATTTTCCTAACCTTCGCAAATGAAGCAAACCAGCACAGCCTGCCACAAAATAAACAAGGTCTGCGTTTGGCCCCCAGGAGCTCAGAAGGTGAGAATATAAGACCCGCAGGCTGGGAGGCAAGGTGGTCAATGTGGGGAGTGGGCCCCTCGGCTCTGGGTGGGCGCGGGGCTTACGCCACATGTGTGGGCAACACTGGGTTGAGGAAGCCTTCTCGGGAAAGGAAGTCAACAGCGAGGCCGCGGGGGGGGGGGGGAGCACAAGTCAGGGGACAGACGTGGGGCGGACATGGGAAAGGCCTTCCAAATCAACGGCAAGCTAGGAAGCCCTGCAAATGCTCCTGAGTTCTTGGGGGGTAACTGGAGCAAGTCCTGTGCAGGGACAGGCAGGGAGACCCCAGAGCTTAGGGAGGGGAGAGGGTGCAGGAGCCCCGAGGGACAGCTCCCTCTGAGGGCACAGGCCAGGACCATGCAGAGGGGGCAGCCTGGGTATCCTTTTATCCTTTACCAACCAAATCAACCCATTCAAAGCACACAAATGAAGCTCGCTGTGACCCTGCCACCTCCTTCCGGCTCCCACCAACCCTCGGGAAGGCTATGTCCTAAGGAGCCTCTCCCTCTCCCAGATCTGCTTCCACTTCCCACCAGAGCCAGACCAATGTCCCAGCACCTCCGCTCCGGCCAGAGCCACTGTCGCTGCAGAGCCCAGCTGCCACAGGAGGGAGCTCATGCTCCCACGCTTCCCAGTATCTGGCCCAGGGCTTCTGAGCATGCTCCCTGGGCAGAGGCTTGGGCAGGCCAGGCAAGACTGCAGAAGCCCTCCTGGTAATTCAGACACAAGCCCAGGCCTGACAAGCCCTGCTCTAGCCCAAGCCACCTTTTCACCCCATTCCCTACACTCCCTTTTTAGGGCACCCTCTCTGCCACCCTCTTTGGGAGGCCCTAGAATCACTGACAGAGGTCCATGTTTGCGTCTCAAACCTGGCTCAGCCTTCAAAGAACAGCTCAATGACCTTGTCCTCAGGAATGACGGCTGAGATCAGCTTCCCTCCATGCCCTTTCCCTCTGGCAGGGTCACCACGTGTTAGCGCTGTCCCCGACGGTGCCTTGCAACCCACTCAGCTGCCAGCTCCCAAAGCACAGGACCTAAGGGATGAGCTTAACCACATGGCTGCAGTTACATGCATGTACAAAAACATGTTACATGCATGTATAAAACACATGTGCGAACACTCTGGAAATGGGGGTGTGTGTGTACTTACTCTAAGGAAAAAGTCAATCCCCTGGCGGCATTTTGGGGAGACTTCTATGGCACAGACTTCTTCTCCCCAGCAGTGGTCAGACAATGAAATGCTGTGGATGCTGACATCATGCTTGATAACGATCTATAGTCCTATAGGATAAGCATCGAGCAGTTCCTGCCTTTATACATGAGAATTAACAAAAGATAAAAATGCCCCAATGACCCCACAGCTGAAACTGATACAAGACATCAAAGCTGCATTTTTAAACAAATGCCAGGGCTGAGAAGCAGCATTCACACAGGATGAAAGCATTGCGGTTCCTGTCTGAGAGGCCAAGTACCCCTTATCTCGCCACCCTCTCCCCTCTCCCCCCTCCCCCTGCCCTTTTACAAGGGCAAGCGCATGTTTGTCATATCGGCCTCTGGTGTTCCTCCTGGGGGCTTTCGCAGATCCAAATGACTTGGATTTTTTTTTCTATTAACTTTTATAATCTTCATCTCAAGAAACCTATTCATGTTAGGAAAAGCGAAACAAAAGACGATCTCATCAGCACAACCAGTACTAAAAAGGCTTTGTTCAAACCACCTGTTCACAGAGCATAACCTTAATTGTCTAACGGGTGATTTAGTTTAAGCCGATGTTTTTTAAAGGGCGCCAACACAATTCCTGGCACCATTTCAACAGAGTGGAGTTTTTTGGCAAAGAAACTCCGGACACTCCAATCTGCAACCATTACTATAACTAAGAAACCCTAAGGACAAGCAACAGCACTGCCGCTTCTTATCTATGAAAACAAAGAAGAAACAAAAATAAGTGAAACATTTTCCACCATGTCTTAATACATTAGAAACCATCAATGTTTTCACACTAAATTTTATAATCATCGCTTGCATGCCTTGCAGTGAAAAACGAAATCTTTCTACCAGTCTCTACTTGACTCAGACTATGAAACCTCTCACACAGAGAATTCATCTGATTAAGGTGCTTAAGACATGAACGAAGTTTAAATCTGAACAAAAGCAACTTTTCCCCAAAAGACAACAATTCTGATCTACACGGTTTTCTTCTCTCAATTTTAATAAAAAACAATAATGTCCTCATCACAAGAAAAAAAAAAGTGCAACTATGTGTGGTGACAGATGTTAACTAAACTTGTTGGGATGATTTTGCAGAATATACACACATCAAAGCATGATGTGGTATACCTGAAATTAACATATCATCAACTACATCTCAATTTAAAAAAATAATGGGAAACATCCCAAGCAAGTTAGGGTGTCTGTCCAGCACAAACTTCTAGGTCTACTTTGCTTTAATAAGGAAATTAAGCACAGTAGCAATCGGCCATAATGCCCCAAATGCTCAAAATAGAAACATTTCCCCCTGAAACTGGAACAAACGATCTCAGGCGACCCACCGAAAGCACAGGGTTTTGTCAAAACCCGCCAGGGTCCCCCCACTAAGACGCACAGTCCCCCCACTACGACGCACATTCTGCCCCCAGGAAGAGCCCTCGGGAGGGGATGGGAGGGAATGACACACGACCTGCCCATGTCCTAGCCATCCCGCTACTCTGGCCACACCGCTGCATGAAGCTGCTTCCAGGAACATCTCTGCTACTCACTGATGGGGCCCTACACAGAGCCATATGCTCAGGACAGCTCCAGGGGGGGTTGGGGAGAGGGAGCACGGCACAATCCTCGGGGCTTGGTGCCAATTCCACTGCAACCTAGCAACACACAGAAACTAGTGCATGCCTGAGGGACGTGCTCCTAGCAGGCATGGGTGCTGTAACTAGTTCCAAAACCTCCTTTCTTCAACTGCAGAAAGAACCACATCACACCGTCTGGCTAACCTTTACAGCCTCCTGCAAAGGGCCTCCTCCTGTGGGATGCTCACGTGCTCCTGAACGCAAGCTGAGCGGCCGTAATTAGAGTCAGAAAAGGGTTTAAGGCTTCCAGCAAGAGGCCTCGAACAGCATGAATCAATAATCAACCCTATCAATAATTTGGGCTTGGCAAAGGTACTTGGAACAGCAACTGGTTCAAGAGGAAGACTAATGATCAGGTGGCACGCATACTGCACTGTAAACTCCTGTTACCATATAAATCTGGAAGACCAAAAGAGCAATAATTTCTCAATTAGGCTTGAGAAAATAACTGATGGCCTATTTTAAAGAAATTTTACCTAAAGCATTTGAAATTATATGTCCTTTTTAGGAGCTGAATTTACTGTGATTTGCCTCTAATGTGAGAAAAATGGGTGACTGCGTCCCAGCGATCTCCCAGCAGGGAGGTGACAGCCCTTACGGAGCACACAGACAGGCTGGCCGTCTCACACACTCCCTACGGCCAGGGGCTTACTGACTGAGCCGCATTAATCAGGAAAATGCCACTGCTGACCCAGTTTCCAGTCTTAACCTTTTCCAAGCACGTTTGCCTAAGCCCGCGATATAGCCACCATGGCTGCCCAGCAAAATAGCCTGTGGCCATCTGTGAAAATACCAACGCCCAGATCCATTCTAGAAATGCCCATCAGGGTCTCTAGGGCGTGGCCTGGACACCCAGGTAAAAAGTACAGATGAGGACTATAGAGAGAGAGACAAAGAAAAGGTTACCACATCAGCCCTGAACTTCCCTGCGAGGGGCACTTCCTTGCCCAAATGGAGATGGAACCGCAAAGCACCTGGGAGGAAGGAAGGGCGAGGCAAATGCTTTCCGCTCAGCCTGGTCCGACACAGATCCCACGACTGGGCAGATGCCCCCCGCCCACCCCTCGACGCCACCGGCCCCAGACACCGCCTGGGCATTGCAGAGGACAGCATCTGTGCACTTGGTGGGGATTACTGTTACAGTTTTTGTTTGTTTCCGGCTGACAGCGCTCCGAGAGAAAGGAAGTGCTTGCTGTCATTTTGTCTGGGAAAGAAAACTTCGCCGGAGAGAGATAGCCATCCTGCGTCTATGACATCGCTCTCCCAGGCCCAGCTTCTAAACGATGACAAGATACAAGTTGCCCAGGCCCCATGAAACAAGATGCCATGGCTTTGTAAAACCAGCCCACTGCAATCCTATCCTGGCGGCTTGGTGCTCTACTTACCACCCTGAAATCAAACCCCAGCCTGCGGAATACAAGACACAGCAGCTGTCACTAGTGGGAAGGAGGGAGGGGGCACGGGAGTCCCGATTCCCATCCTGTTCACAAAACCACGGGGATGTGTTTAACACTGAGGTGCATACGCCCCTCCCCCTCAGAACCACCATACCTGCACTGGCCACGCTACCCCCTCAGAACCCGCACCTCCTGTCTTTATCAGGAAAGCCACCTTAGGGCACCTGAGGTGGGCAGCGAGGTGAATCAGGTTAAACCAGGGTTGGCTTGAGCACGAGTGTATCATTTGGTCAAACTGTGAGGTAAGAAAACAGATGGTATTTGTGTGTTTGTGGCTGAGTCCATGAATTATTTCCAGAGTGCCTTTTTATAAACGGGCCACTTTTTTTGAGTACACGATCCATGTTGGAGCTCGATGTAAAATGCTAGAAAATGCGGGGCAGCCAGTTAGCTCAGTTGGTTAGAGCGCAGTGCTCATAACACCAAGGCTGCTGGTTCAATCCCCGCATGGGCCACTGAGCTGCGCCCTCCACAACTAGATTGAAACAACTACTTGACTTGGAGCTGATGGGCCCTGGAAAAACTCACTGTCCCCAATTAAGAATAAAAAACAAAAACATATTAAAAAAATGCTAGAAAATGCTCATTAATCTATGAGACAAGTCAGGTAGTGGTTGCCTGGGGATGGAGAAAGAGGAGACGGTGAGATCTAAGCAGAGACTTAAATTTAGACAAAGAAGGCGAGTTGGTGATTTAAGAGGCATCATTATAAAAGCTCTCATTGGTGCCTTTGTAATGAGGAAAATGACATCCAGTTAGTTGGGAGTTTTAAAGTCCTTACCACTTGGACCTTTAGGGTCTCCAGCGGTGTTCTGGATGACAGCAACAGGTCTTAATATTAACTAATTAACCAGTGTGGGTAATTTCATTCACATTTGTAAACAAAGCACCATTTCACACTTTCTAATAGGCCAAAATCATACCTCCACGTAGTATTCAAAATTAATACAAAATTATTTTTAAAAGATTTTAAACACCTCAGTGTGTTATTAAAAGTGTGTTCGGGGGAAAAAAAAGTGTTTGAACAAATTGCTTGGTTTGTTTTTATATCTTGTGATACACAGCATTTAAAATACAAAATTCTACTTAAACCACATCACCGCGCTGTGCAGCCCTTGTTGAAAGGAACCCAGGTATGCGGAATGCAACCCAGGTTCTCCACCTTCGGGACAAAAGTGTGAGCCTCAGGCCAACAGCCTGTTAGCCACCTGGTTGGCTAGTCAGCAAGCAGGCCCCTTGACTGCCTCCCCATCCTGCTGACCAGTTGTGACGCGTGGGCACTGAGCTTTGAGCAGAATCCAGGCGGTCTGTTTTTCTATCCTTAGGTATGTCCTTCTAGTTCAAAAACAAGCTGCTAGGGGCGGCTGGTTGGCTCAGGTGGTTAGAGCATGGGCTCATAACACCAAGGTTACTGGTTCGATTCCCACATGGGCCAGTAAGCTGCGTCCTCCACAACTAGATTGAAGACAATGGCTTGACTTGGAGCTGATGGTTCCTGGAAAAACACACTGTTCCCCAATAAAGTTAAAAATAATAATAATAAGCTTCTAAACATATAGAATGATGCCCAACTTCACTCCTAACGACAGAAATGCCCACTGAAATAATAAAACCATTTTCCACCTGTCACATTCACAAAGCAAACAAAAACAAACTTCACTGTGCACGTGCCTCCTGACTCAAAAACTCCCATGCTAGGAAATGTATCACAATGATCTACATGCACACACGTTCACCAACCATTTCATGGGACCCTGATAGATGTAGCCGCTGGAAATACTGTCGCCTCTAGATTCTGTCCCCCATCCCGGGTCAAGAGCTCTGTCCATTTTATTTGCGGCTGCCTCCCCTGGGCTGGCCAGGGTCCCACGGATGGGTTTTACAGAAGGAGCGTTTCAGTGCTGGCGTCCCCATCATATCATCCTGTGGTGCCCTCCAGGTGAGGTTCAAGCCCATTTCAGTCACTAGACCCAAGTCCTTCCGTTGTCCTTGTGAGCCTGACAC